AAATTAGGGACGGCTAGCGCAGATAGCTCTCGTGAAGCTTTTCGCGAAATTCAAACCAAACCAAATCTAACTATAATAATAGATGGCGCCTTAATCGTAGTTGACATCATGCTCCCTTTGTTTTCATAATGTTTTAAGCAGATTTCAACAAGTATATTTTATGAGCTATTTGCAGGATATTTGTTGTAAACACGACATGTAAAATAGAGACCGTTAGTTAATATTAGAATATGGAATAACGAGCTCTAGCATTAAAGTTAAAAGGTATCCCTTAACAACATAACATAATGTCCTTCAGTCTCCCTTTGAGTTGATAGTAAACAAACAACTTGTACTCGGGCATGACAACAATCACATAACTCTTCGTTGACACTATGAGGACACAGGAAGTAATAATTCTAACGAAAGTCAGTTAAAGTCAAGGCCTGTTCCATTCGTATAGCGAACGCTATTTTTAGGATAGAACTTTCATGTAATTAGCATTTTCCTCATAACCAGCAAAACCAAATAAATAACAAGTAAAGCTAATACAGGGAATTTACTTTTCAATAAGGAAGGAAAGTGTCGGGAACATAATTTATATGTAGGAAGGGAAATAATATTGGAAACTTACTTTTTTTAACTAGCAAGGATGGTGTTGGAAACTTGCTTACTTTTTTTTTTTAGTTTGGTTTGTTTTGAATTTGCTGCAAAGCTCCACCAGGCCTATTTGCGCTAGCCTTCCCTACTGTAGCAGTGAAAGACTAGAAGGAAGGCAGCTAGTCATCACCACCCACCGCCAACTCTTGAGCTACTCTTTTACCCACGAATAGTGGGATTGACGGTCACATTATAACGTACCCATGGCTGTAAGGGCAAGCATGTTTGGTGGGATTCGAACCCGCAACCCTCAGATTGCGAGTCGAGCACCCTAACCACTTTTCTTTCTTTTTTTACGTTATGTAAGCTTCAAATGAGATTTTTTAATAAATGTTGCAAGTTTTAAAGTTTGAAACGAAGCAGGAAAAAAAAAACACGGGAAAATAAAGGAAAGACTGGATAAACAGTTGGTAACCCAAAACACAAATAACTAAACCACATTACCTGTTCTCCTACAGTAGACTTAATTTGAGTTGTTAGGTATGTTTGTTTTGTTTTAACGCAAAGTTGCATAACGGTCTATCTGCGCAGGAGGAATAGAACACTGAATTCTACCGTCTTAAATCCAGAAGCTTACTGCTGAACCACAGAGGTACTCTCGGGTTTGAAACAAAATCTCAAAGTATATAAAAAAAGTGATGAGTTCTAAAAGATATTGTTTGATTAGCGAAGAGCCATAAACAAATAAAAGATGTAAAGACCTGCTATAAATCTTGAAAGTGAAGGAACACAACACTGAATTCTGGACGGAATAAATGTAGTAGGGTAAATGCGTGTAACGAAAAATAAAAATGTAAACGTACCACAAGAGGGAGATTTAGACGTAAATAATATGAGACGATTTTACGAAAATCATATCTTTGTTGTTATTGGTTCTTAGGAAATGTTTATGTTGGCTAGACATCGTCAAATATTGTACGATTTTTTTTTTTGCTCTCAATTTTTGTAAACATCCATCTATGTTTTAAAGGATTGAGTAAAGCTTCATTATATAACTGCAGGTTAAATAGGTACAAATGGGGAAATTGGAGGCCTCAAAAAAAG